TTTGATAATTAATTTAGACCCTAGATCCTTTATACCTTTTGCTTTGTCTTGCAATAAAGAAACGATCATTTTCATAGAATTTATGAGAAATCCTAAAAATGCTATTTCTTGCACAGGCTCAACAACAGATTTGGTAGGATGAATAGTAAATCCTAAATTGTCAAGTAATGTTGATGTACTTCCTATATTTTGAGCACAATGTTCAAAACTATCACCTAACAATAAAATGTCATCTATATATGGTACACTTTCAAATCCTTGTTTTCTCAATGTACTAAAAACTGGTTTTAAAAGTTTTGTAAACACACGTGGGGCAGAAGATAATCCATTAGGTAAAGAAGTGTATTGAAAACACTGATTTCTCCATATGAATTTTAAGAATTTTCTGTCTGCGAAATATATTGGTACAGAATAGTAGGCATCTTTTAAGTCTACCGAGGCCAACCAACAATCTTGCTTTACTAAACACAAAGCACTTTTTATTGTTTTCATTTTGAAGTGGTGATATTCAACATCCTTGTTCAAATCTTGTAAATTTAGAATTAATCTAAAAGTTCCATCATGTTTTTTCCTAGTGAAAATGATTGAAATGAAGTCATTTTCCATTCTTTCTGTCTTTTCAATCACTTTTTTGTCAAGGAGTTTTTGAATTTCTGTATCAATGACAATCATTTATTCTGGAGAGAACCTTATTTGATGAGGAACCCTATCTTGCAAAGGAGACTGTATTAAGTCAAGTTGATATCCTAGTACAGTTTTAAGAATTTTCCTATCTGATGTTAACTCCTTCCATTTGTCAAAATAAGAACACATTTTTCCACCATAGAAATTATCAGGTGTATTATGAAATTTTTCAAGAATGTTGCATTTTTCCTCACTATTAACTGTACTTACAGAATGGTCAAGATGAGCTATGTCTGTGATTGTTGGTTGAGTAGAATTGTCTACTTCTTCTGTTGAGTTTGAGGTGGCCTCCTGCCCCTGCCTTTCCCTAAAAAAGACCCATTGTTGTTTTGGTCATATTTATAGGAATGGGAGTAGGTGCCATGTGTCTGGGGTTTTCCACTAAATCTGTAGCCAGATCCATAAGATTTCTGATGGCTTCCCTGACTTTTTCCTGCAGATGACCCTTGAAAACTGTATCCTTGGAGTTTTTTGTTCACTTTCTTCGAGGTATCAATTTTCTTGATCTTTTCATCTACGTTGTCGCCGAAGAGGAATTCTGTGACCTTGTTCGAATCATTGCACAGAGGTTTATAACTCTGTTTCAATTCTGGCCGGATTAAATATCTCCGTTTGTGAGATAAATCTGTAAAAGCTAATTGCAACAATTTTACGATATCTTGTGCTAGTTCAAGGCATTCGTTCATATCTGTGACTTCCGATGTTTTTGATTTTCTTGCCGAAATCAATTTGTCTAAAAGTCTGCAAGCGGGGCTCAAAGCTTTTAACACAATTGTTTGGGACTTCTGGATTTTAAAAATCTATTGACTGCGCCTTTTTCTTTATCGATGGCCATATTTCTTCATTGATACGGGGCACCGTCATGTTCGAGCAGTTTTCGGGTCTGTTGTGCTTTTCACACAAAGTTTTTGCCTTGTCTTCAGATGGTCTTACTTGGAAATTTGTGTTGATAACTTTTGCTAACTCAGCACTTAGAGCTGGTCCTGTTTTGTCATCTTTTACCATAAACTCTTCTAATGATTCTAAGAAATCCTCTTCATCCTTGTCCTCATCTTTATCCTTTTGCACTTTGGATATCAGGTCATCAAGAGTTTCTTCGTCATCATTGTCCGATGTTAGTTCATCAGGCTCATTTGCGACCTGAAAACACAATTATCCATGTAAACTACATCATATTATCTTGCAGTGTTAGATCTCTCAATAACAGAGGTTTTAATCTGATTTTATTTATAATATTGTTTTGAATATTGCCTTTCTATTTTAATTATGAAATTTTTTAGCTGCACAATTACTGCTGAAATTATTGTTTTATGTCAGAATGGTAATACGTGCCTTGCGTTTCTTAGAAACAGGCTGTTCAGTGGTATTAACCAATGGTCTTTGCCGCATGAGATGATTAAGTATACTTTGGTTTTGAAAAAACGGTTTTTTCCATTGCACATGATCATCATCATCGTCTTCGTCCATGGGCGCAGCCATATTTGTTTGGCGCAGAGTATTCTGGGTGTTCTGGGCGTCCATCAACATCGATGGCGGGAAAGCAGGCGAAGCTCCGCCCACTACACAATCACTCTGAACAGTTTGAACTGTTTCTTCTCTTGCAGCTTCAGGCACAACAATGGACAAGAATTGATTTCTGTCATTATGGGATTGAACTCCCGCAACCAAACTGTCGAAGACAGCATCGCTATTCAAACGATTAGGTCCGCAACCAAACTGTCGAAGACAGCATCGCTATTCAAACGATTAGGTTCACTGGCCAAGTTCGCCATTGTTTGTAAACAATGCACTCGTTAAGGGTCAAAGATTTTGACCCAAAACACAAGCAAACGAAGGTGAATGACACGAAGTGTCAAAATAAACAAAAACTTCGTATTGCTATAGCTGAAAATACAGCAATATCAGTTCGATAAACACTATAAACAATCCAAAATTGACTGAAAATCCTTGTCGAAAATATAACGTGTCTTGTTTGGAATCGCGTTACACTAAGCACTGATTGGTTGAATGGAATCACGTGACCTAAGTCATCTCATATGATCCCTCAGTACGAATTCGTTTGTGCTAATTGTATGGTCGTTGTGGTTATTCGCGGCTGTTTCTGTTTTGACTGGATTTAAGGTTTCTTCGATTGACTTTGTTGTTAATCTTTCGTATTTTTCAAAGGGGACAAGGACCATTTTCTGAGTAAACTTCATTTTACAAGTTTTCTGATCGACTCGCGCACTTCTTCCATCAGTTGAAAAAAAATCCTGTAATGAGTTTTCACTGCTCATATTTTATTCTGCACAGTTCTTTTAGAATTTGTGAAATTTTGAAGAATCACACGACTTCTTGTAAGCAGTCTATGAGCTTTCGCAGACAACGTAATAGTTCCGTTTAGAATATTGTAAAAAATCTCCACTAGAGCTAATATCTGTTTCTTACTTGCAGTATACAATAATCGCAATTTTTGTTCTTTCGGTGTGTCTTTATCAAAAAATAATTTCAAGTACACTGAAACACTTTGTAATATTTTACTCATTTTCTTAAGTCTGACACGACATTCATCCTTCGACATACAAACTAGATCTGAATGTATTCAGAGTTTATAAGGGTTTCTATATGATACATGTTTCATTCGGAAAAATGCCAGTTCTTATGCGATATGTCTCCTCGCCATGGGGAGATAAATCTAGCACCAGATACCCGAAAGGCTTTTGCATACAATCCCTGTACGCTTCCACGAGAGCATTTGATTTCCCGGGAAAAACTTGTTTACCCAAACATTGAATTTGTGACATATCTCTCGGATTTTTCAATAATACCATGTAATGCGTATTAAGATTTATTGTGCGAGAGTGTTTACCTTTGCAATACATGTTTTGATTCAGATAAAGAATGCTTAGCTTTTTATGATGAGCACCCTGCGTAAAAAGTTTTTCCATTTCTTTGTTTGACACCAATTCATTCATAAGATCATCAATTACAACCAAGTTGTGACAGTTGTTTTCTGTCAAGACGTTTAAATCAGATTCACTAGGTAAGCCAGGTCGGAAATTTAAAAAAGGAAATGTTTTCTCCATAATGCTAAATTCCTCTTGAAACACACCATAGCAGTACAACACATTCACTGGAGGATGAGGATAAAACATCAGTTTTATATAATTAATTATATTTTTAACAAAACATGTTTTCCCTGAACCGGTCGTACCGGATATTGATATTGTAGTACAACTGTTGAAGGGAAACATGTTGACGTAAGGATGGTCGGAACTAAAATGAAGTTCCTAAAACTCTTGTGCTTTCTATATATTAAACTCTTAATTATACACAATGACAGAAAGGTTGAAAGTAAAAGTTTTAAAGCGTTTATTTTTCTCCCTGAGTATTTATTAATAAATGAGTAATTTGAATATATATCAGTACTAATTTTACAAAAAGTCAGAACAGTTCAAATACAAGAAACACACTGATATCAATGTTCGTATTTACAAATACATTATGTACAATGGTATATTGTCAAAGTTTTATTCCATTTCACCACCAGGATTGCATTCAGCACACTCAATCATCCCCATTTGGTTTTCGTGACTTAAGTGACAGGGCACCACACAGTCCATGTCTACCGGAAGCAGGATGTTGACTTAATTCCTGTAGATTGTTCACTAGAACGTCCCACTCCTTAAAACGCAAAGACAGTCCATTAGGTGTAGGGTATAAATCGTTCTTATTGTTCTTATATCTACCTCTTGTGAATTCTCTAATGTTCACGCACATGTAGGGAGAATTCACAGACACATACACTTGGCCACCCAGATGTAATTTAAATTCAACGTCCTCTTTCGCTTTCACTTTTGCAACGGCGCATGCTACGTCTTCTAAACGATCGCACAAAACTCTCCATCTTGACAGGGAAAGTTCCTGGCCTTTCTGTGCGGAAAACTCCCCATCTTCCGTCTGCCTGATGTCAATTGTTGAATTGTATTCGTCAGGGAAAATTCTGAGACATCTCTCGTCACTTAAACATAAGTTGTAACTTTCTTTAGCCATAGTGAATAGAACTTATTCTTGAAGCAGAATGAGACAAACGTTAAGAACAAACAATACTTAAAGCAGAAGGGTGTTACCATGAAGAATTATGTAGGCGTGTATGTCACAGTATATGATTCTATATTTCCCAGTTAATAAGATTTCAATGCCATTTTTGATATCAATTTCAGTATTGAATAATAAGCGCTATAATATATCTTAATCGCTTCGTAATGTTGCAACTTTTATTTTCTACTTGTAAAAATCTTTTATTTTAAAATAAGACTTTCCTTATCAAAACACCTTCAATCCCAGTGTGTTGTTATATCAACATAAATCGTTCTATTATCAGCTAAATCGTCTCTTTTAATCCTAATTAGTATTATCTCTCGTAATTCCATTTTATTTCTCTAAAAAATTCTTTCATAAAACAGTGAGAAAGAAAAATTAAGACAACAGTAAGGAATTTTATTGTGTTTATAAATTAACAATAAAATAGGAAAATAGGAAACGTTCAAAATGTATACAAAGTTTTAAAAAAGAAAATATAATGTTCACATAAAAGTTAAGAAAATAAAAACTTGTTCCGAAAAAAATAAAGCTTTACATTTGTGATGTGAACAATACGCCATTTACTGTTTGGTCGCTGTCGTTGTAAATACTCCATTAGATTTATGGAATTTAATTTCTCGCGCAATTTCTTTCTGATATCTCTCATGTTATTTATGAGAACTGGTCGATCAAAAACAGTTTCGTTTCTATCTGGGATGAAATATCTATATTCTCTAGTCTCAACATTTTGTAAAATAAAACCAAAAGAAAGATTCAATCTGAAAGTGCGTGATTCTGTTCGACAGGAATTTTGAAGAATTTCGATTAAATTTTCTGTAGAAACGTTATTTTCTAATGGAGAATTAACAGTTGTCTTTAGAGAACCTTTATCTCCCTTTGACAAAATGAAGTTTTTATTCGCCAAAAAGGTGTCGCGAAGTCTTTCATCATCACCCCATGGGGCTTGGTCTCCTCGTTCTTCCCATGGAAACTGTACCTCTGTTCCTTCACCGCTTTGATGGAGTAGTTTCTGATGGAGGTACAGCGCTCTTCTGTTAGGAAAAGACTCTCGACATTTTCTGCATGTTACAGAATGACCTGTTGGAGGTGATCCTCTCTCCAGCGGTTGATACGATGTTGATGGTTGGTTTTCGGGGATTGGTTGAAAAGCGGTAGAGGGCTGGTTTTCTTTTTCGGGGATTGTTGATGATCGGTGAGCGCCTCTAACTCTGTGCTCTTTCCTATGGTTAATCAATTCCCTTTTGTTTTTACAAACATGTCCGCAGCGTTTACAATCGACACCTTTCCCCTTCCCGCTAGGCTTTGGCTTTTGCTTTTAAAAAAAATTATAATCAATTAAAGAATAATGTAATATGAGAGAGAGAGAGAGAGAGAGAGAGAGAGAGAGAGAGAGAGAGAGAGAGAATATGATGTATCTAACCTGTTGATTATTTTCTGCATCATCAGCTTCCGTAGGTTCTTCCCCATTTTGGACCTCAGCATTCTCCATGGACCTATAAAATTATTAAGAGTAAATCAGACCATGTACATGTATTGTATTTACAACCACATAAAAATGCAAGTCTCCTTCCTTTTTAATAAACAAAAATAACCTTTGACACACCCCGCGCCCCTCTTTATTAATCAATTAAACCATGTTACTGTTTTACAAAAAATATATATCTTACTTTTGTTCCTCCGCGAGGTTCCTTAAATATTTCATTCTTCTTTTCACGTTGTAATGGTCGGCTACACCCCATTTCTCGGACCATTGCTTTAAACGTTCAACGTCGTTTATTTTCTGGACGGCCCTATATATCCTGTGATCCTCAGGTAAAACTCCCATAAAGTCTTCCAAAAAATCGTCATCTTCGTTAGTTCTTCTGGAAAGTTTAATTTTAATAAAACAGTTTTGAAAAATCAATTAGAAGTGATCGTTAATATTTCTATATGGTTTTATTGATTTTATACATGATCCCTTTTGCAAATAATTATGTCAAATTTAGAACGATTTCGTTGTAGCTTGCATTTTTTTCAGTAAAAGAATTCTCTACATTGTGACTTACTTTTGTAACTTCTCCCATTCCAAGAGCTGAAGAGTTCTTCTAGCAACTATCGGGTGATTTGCCAGCGCGTGGTTGACCGCCCAAGTGAATAAAGTATTCAAGTCTTTTATTGAACTTACTATTTTGTAAATGATTTCTTCTTCAGCACAGCATAGACTTTCCCTATCCATTATGAATTTTATAGTGATATATGTTAAAAGTAGATAGTCTTGCATATATATACCGAAAGGATTAAATTACTTATAATTGAGTAAGACTTCATAACATTTAATTCATCGCTCAAACCGACTGTCATTAATCCATGTGTAAATGTGTTTTCCTCAGGTCGCAGATTTGAGTTTTTTAAAATTTCAAAATAATTATAATAGGACTCGCTCATTGTCACTTTCTTGAGAACTGATTAACGGAACAATGACTAGAAAACATCTCATCTTCTTTGTAAACGCAATAATAAAGATAAGCCGTTATCTTTAATTGATTTGACACAGATAATAAAGAATTAACACCTCTCTATTAGCAAATCTACTAGCTTGGATCTTGATTTCGCAGTATCGTATGACACTTGGTTACAGAAAATTACCATCTAGTAATCAATACCTTGAATGAGCCATTGATCTGAACTTTATCCGATTAACGTAGTATGGTTTTTTTTCTTTACGCCTATAGAAAACAATTACATATCTTGGATCCTCTACTTTTATCTAACAGATAGATCCGCCATCTTGGTTTTACACCCCTAGAAATCCGACAAATCTTAGATCCGTCACTTTCTTCTAACCGTTGAGCCGCCATATTGAATCTACCCCAGGCTAGAGCCGCCATATTGGATCTAGCCTTAATCTCTTAATCCGATTAGTAAATTATGGGTTGAAATGCACACCAAGCAACTTTATTAAGAATGAATACACTTTCTTAAGGACTTATGTGACACTATATTTCAAAATGAAAATGCCAATTGTTTATTTATGTTATTTTGTCTGCTAAGAAAAGTTTATTCACGATCCTGTAAGATTTATTTGCAAATGATTATTACAAATATCTGTTTTTCTAATATGTTTATTTTATTAATGATTTCTTACTCCTATTATTTATATAAATGATTAAACCTTTTCTACCGTATCGTATATTCTATACATGTTTGTTATGATTCAAACTTTATTGCGTTGAAAATTTAAATAAAAACAGATACTGTAAAACGAGAATATTTGGCGCACTACTAATTTTAGCGCCTTTGGCACAAGAGCCCATGAGCGCTAAAATTTGTTGTGCGCTAAAGGATTTCTAAATATCTTTTTTTGTGTGTGTTCAAAGCTTATACATAAGTACATGTAAACCGGAACGTGCGATTACGTAATGTCGAAGCGTCATTGGATTTTTTATACACACTAGCACTGCATATATTCGGAAGACGGAAAGTTCTGCCAAATTATAATTTAATTAAACTATTGGTACCCCGGTAGTTGTTATCCGATTATTATCATTAGCACCCTCAAAGTTTGGCTTCTCGGCGTGTCAATCATCTATCGCCTCCAGGTTTACAATGCAATCAAGGATGGGGATTGAGATTGCAGACAATACCTGATTAGAATTACCGTTTTTTCTAAGTAATTTTCTGTCGATGCATGCATTGTTTTAATGTGATTTAAATTAGTAAATACTCCATTTCTTTTAATTGAAAATAGAAATAATATAAATTTTAACATTGTACCACGTCCATGTGATAGCAACACGTACCGCGGTAAAGGTGACAAATGTTTACTGATATACGGGAATACTAATGTGTTTCTGTGCCCCACTAACCAAAAAGTCAAGTACGGGTGCGGATAAAAAAAAAGAAAATGTCACATTTATATATTTTACTGACAAGTGCAAGCGCTAAGATTTATTGGCGCCAATGCATTCCCACTTGCGTTTAAGCTAAAATATGTATGCGCCAAATTTTCTCATTTTACAGTATTGTTTTAACTTGTTTTGCTAGGTTCTTCATATTTGGAAATGAATTGACTTTTTAAGGTTGATTACCGTTCGTAATCTTCATATTTCACTTTATTATAATTGCAAAATATGGTCAATGAAGTACAATTTGGTCTATTTCCTAGAAAAGAGTGCCTCATCTACAAAATATATATTGAGCAATTTTTCCCCTCATAGCATTGATTTCACATGAGTAATACAACGCTCACCCTCATTTTGTTGACCATTATGTCACCTCTCTAAGACAATGTTTACAATTCATTTAAGTCAGCTTATCTCTTCAGCAACAAAAGAATTTGTTTAAAAAAATCTTTGAAATATCAGGAATTTATATCCAAAGAATTTGTATTTTATGCTAAAAAAAGTTTCTGGTAATTAAACTGTTAATTATTCATATTGGTGTTTATCGTCAATAACCACTTGTCACAATATGTCCTTGATAGAATAAAAAAAAGGTGCTTCTCATTTCAGATAAAAAGTTCTTAATTATTAATAATACAATGAAGGATATGGAGATAACGAACAGTATTCAAGATCAAAAGTCCACGAATCAATACAAAACAGGAGCACAGTAAAAAAAAAGACCTTCAAAACATCGGAGATGGATCAGGTGCGTACAACATATAAATATATGTAAATCACGTGATTGTCTTATAAATGATGAATTGGTATTGATTTTTTTTCTAATTGATAAATAGATTGCCAATTTATCGTATTTTCTCAATTCAAGATGAAGTTGTCTATTCATTGTTTATTTCATAATTGTCGTTTGTCTAAAGTTATTATCTTTAAAAGAGATTTCTTAGCGCAAATCCCATTCATCCATACTTAATATCTCACTAAGAAATGAATGAAGATTCGTTTGCAATGACAAATAATTTCAGATGAATAGATAAGGATAGGTTAATTTATGGATATTTTTCTCTTGCCCTTTTAAAAGAATAGACACATTTCATATTTGAAAAAAAGCTAATAGAACAGAAAGTAGTTAAAGCAAGGAAAACATCAACTGTAAAATGTGTCACATTAAATGTTTCTTTCGTCCAAGGATGAATAATATGGAAGGTTCAACATTCTGCGCTTAATTTAAGTGGAGCATTTTTTTTTTTAAAGAAGTACATTAAGTCTTGTTAACCGTCTACATTTCACATTTATTAACTTAAGATATATATTTGACCATTAAATTTTTTTATCGAAGAAACTTCCGACAGTTATTTATTTGAATATCTTATATGTGTCATATATGTAAATGTTGTAACATTTATATTTTATGAGAGGACAGATTAATTTGTAATTGAAATCAGACTTAAAAACTTCACCAATTTTTAAAATACTCTTATATATGGACAAATGACTATTAAATCTTTCCCACATAAAAGTAATAATTACAATTTTTCATTTGTAATTTCCTTTAGAATTTGTGATAAATGATGCAGTTAATCTTTTAAAACTAGTTGGGAGAGTGGGCGGCAGAACAATGTTTTAGTTAGAAGTCCTTAGCCTTTAATTTGAAATGGATCTTGATTATGTATGGATGGGCTAAGCAGAAAAAAAACTCCATGTATCTTTGTAATAATTTTAAATTAAAAAACCCATACATATAGGACATGTTTGTAGCAAAACCAAACCTTTTGACGTGGTAATGTAAACTAGACTGTGCCAAGGAACGCATGTGTCGTCTACTTTTAAGCATCATTCAACATGTAAAAAAAATCTTAGAGTAATAAGCCTTTTATTTAAGGAATAACTGACAGGATTTTTGGTCCAATAATGTGATCAATTAATATGCTCTCCTGATAATTTGCATGAATCCCGAACCCTTAAAAATATCACCCGAGCAAATTGATTGATAATCATCATGAAACAAAAATAAATCAAGACATGTGTACCTTATATTTACATTTTTACCTGATCTTTATTTCCATTAAAAAATCAATAGTAAGAAATCTCCCCATCAGGTGTATTATTAAACAACATGCAGCAAAAAAGCATACATATCTGCAACGTGCCGAGCAAAAAGATTTATGGGATTACAAGTATAAAGTCATCACCTTTATTATCATATTTTTCTCAGAGAAGACTTTGGAAAATGTAAATATATATCGTTAGCAAAATAGTTCCTTCATTTGCCTACAAAGACAATGATATCCGTGGATTGCATTTTACTTCATGAGAAAATTTAAATTCAAAGAAATTATCCCCGAATGAAAAATTGAATTGGATTTCTTGATCTGTTACAAGATATAGGGAGTAAACAAGCATTTTTGTCAATATTTCAAATAGCATGTACTGGTATTAGAGTTTTAGTTGTTTTCAGACTGTAAAATCAATGTTAAATATGAAAAAATCACTCTTCTGATTTGAAGTCATCTAATTGATTTGTCCAACCTTCTTTTCGATCACATTTAACATATGTATCCAATCAGATTAGGGATTGATAAAGAATTTGTTTACAAATTACTCAAATAGTGTAAAATTGATATTGCTTATCATCACTCACTCAAAAAGAGGAAAAATGATAATGATGTATAAATACTATTACAGGGGATTGTTCTGGGCCTTGTTTGTTTTTTTCAATTAGACTTTCCGAATCAGTGTCGAAACGGTATATTACTCAACTTAATAACAACGGCGTTTTTATTCGAGAAAATCTTTTGGAAGAGTATGACGCATATTCAGTAACTATGTGTGCATCCATGTGTGGCCCACACTGTACGTATTTTGGCGTCAATTTGCATTCAAAGAAATGTCGAGTTTACTCGGGATGTTAGTCAGGTAATTTAACAGAAGCTCAAGTAGAATGGATATTCTACAAACCGGAATCTGAAGGTATTTTATTTTCACATAAATTCTCTGAATTAGCTTGTTTTAATTGTCGTATATGATTGATCCTAGTCATTTTCAATGTTTACACTATACGATAAATTGGTACTAGTAAATATTTACACTCACCATGTTTTTCTAGTAAGCCGATTGTGAAATTCATTTGAAGGTCATTTTTGTGTATACTCACGTGTAGAAATATACACGGAGAAACGTGCGTTAACGTGACGTCACAATGAGGCTGCAGCGACGTTAGTAACAATGCAGCGATATAGGGCAGTCAGAAGTTCAAATTTTGAGTATATTTCAGTTGCTTCCAAACATGTAAAATGTAAATATAAGGAATGTTTTTTTTTCAGTTTAGTGTGAATTATTGGTGTGTGAATCACACAGACTTGCACGTAGGCATATTTTTCATGAAGCGCTAGCGCGCTTCATGAAATATGCCTACATGACAAGTCTGTGTGATAATAACTCACACAAAACTCAAAAACATTCCTTAAATAAAAAAGGATGTGCAATATAAAATATAGATTTTATTTCCTTCAACTTTACATGTTGTAAAAAGAATTATCTAGTCTCTGGCCTTTAAATAGTTTTTCCTTGATTATTGCGCAGGTGTCGGTATGTTAAATACAGGGAGTTATAGCCAAGATCTGACTGGGATGTATTTTAGTACCCGAGACAGGGATAACAACAGGGTGGGGGGTAGCTGTGCTCATTGGGGAGGAGGAGGCTGGTGGTATAACACGTGTTACTCCTCCAACCTTAACTGTCCCTTGTCCCGGGTAGTGTGGGTCAATCCATGGTATCCTACAGCTGTGGCTAGTAATGAGATAAAGGAGACTTCCATGATGATAAAACATCACTGAAGATCTATTCACAGGCAAGTAATTTGGTACCATATACAGTACAACTCGTCTAATCCAGAACCATCTTTTTTAAGCTGACTGGACTTGATAATACGTCTTATATAAAGAAAATTGG